ACCACTCCTTTTGGAGCTCAATCGCTACAAACGTCGAAGAGAAACGGGGATAAAAAGTGTATAATTAGACCCGAATCAATATATAAACTGGATTTGTAAAGGAATGATGTAATTTTCCCATTATGGTTAATAAAATTCTATCTGTCTGACTTTCCTTCTCTCTGCGGTGGTCATCGATCAGAAGCTTCCCAACAGGAGATACAAAACATTATCAGCCTCACATAAATGGAAGAGGAAGAGAGAGAACGTTGGAACTAATCTGATCTCAAAAGTCAAAGAGAAGTATGATATGACCAAACTGTATGAGCCATAGATACCTAATTTCATATTGAGATGATTAGTAGTATATTATGAAAATATCATATGATTTGAAAAATCAACGGACTATTCCACGGCTAAACAAAAGAGTTTAAGAGGTATTTTTTATTGATGGATTTGGATCATAAATTTTGTTAAAATTCCATTGTTTGTTTTATATATTTAGTGACAACAAGTTTGTGGGATCCACAGATTTTAAAGGTTTAAATTGCACTTCTTTAGATGGAAATTGATTATGAAATTTGATGTCCATTATATGTGACCAACCTCCCTGCTGACATTTCCTATTTCTTCTCATATCAATGAATGCAATAAAAGTAAATTTCATTTGATATATACACATCTAATTAACCAACTCTATCAAGTAGTGTATGAAACAAACAAAACAACTAATATTTTTCAAGTACATAATAAAAGTAAATTTCATTTGATACATACATAATAAACAACAATATTTTTCAAGTACATAATGAAACAAACAAAACAACAATATCTATCAAGTAGTGTTGGAAATTATTATTATTATTATAATAATATTATTATTATTATTATTTAATGATCATTATTTCCAGGTTTCCATTTTGGTTTTACGGGAAGTTTTTCAATCTTTTCGGTTACGGAATGTAGGGGAAAAAAAAGGAAAGGTCGATTGAGTTCAATGATAATTACGAATGGGGTCTGATAAACTGCTTTGATGTCTTTCCACTTGCGGTTTGCATTCGTTAATTAGTAGTAAAGGAGACTTGTGCGATTTATTAATCATAAGGGTTCCGATTGTGAGAAAATATAGGAGATTAATTAATGATACATCAATCTTGGTTGCTTGGTGTAAATATACAACATAAATTGGTTAGTCCGGTATTTTTTATTTTAATTCGTTCAGCATTGTGTTGCCAAAGTAACCTTTGTTGTGAAGATTAATCTAATTGAAATACTTGGACGCATAGTGAATGGTTATTTATGCATATAGTATTCGACCCTAAGGTAGAAACTATTCGGCCAAATAACGATACACATCAAAGATAAAAATGTGATGACTGTCAAGTTATTTTTCCATGTGAATAGTAGTTAGTCCAAAGACAAACTATTATTTGACAGGACTTGTCGTCAATATTTTATATTGGCTGATGGTCGTTGGATCATTAAAATAAACTTATTTTTGTGCAATTCATGCCTCATAGTTTTGTTTCACAAGACTAATTTCAGTAAACCAAATTTTAGGGTCATTTGACAATTTTTATAAATCCCTATATGGTAAAGGTTTACATTTTAGCGCGTGCAAATTATCTATTCACTGGCCCAAAGGTAGGTGAATATTTAAGATTCCATATGTGCGCATAGAGTAATAAATATGTGATGATTATTCGGTTAGCATGTGAATCTTAAATCGGTCCAAAGGTGGATTTACTATTTCATATGTTCTTATCATCAATATTTAATTACTCGATCATAAGACATTACTTACAAGTTAATATTTTGTCCAAAGACAAATATTAATGGAGTGCATTGTGTCTTGAGATGGAGTAAACCGTTATTTAAAATTATTATTGTAATTCTCTCTTAAGGATAATTAATCACTTATTTGGAATTTTGTGATTATGAGAGAATTGTCCGGTATTTTAATTAAATCAATTTTAGCAGTATGTTGCCAAAGTAACCTCTACTTGCGAAAAATTATTTAACTTAGATTACATGGATGTACGTGTAAGGTTATTTTATGTGGGTAGTGCTCGACCCAAAGGACGACATTATTTGACCAAAATAATCAAGCACATTAATGGTAAGTACGTGATAATTATAAAGTTGTTGTTCATGTGAATAATAGTCGGTCCAAAGATAGACTGTTGTTTGACAGAACTTATTATCAGTATTTGATCATTGTTTTAAGAGTACCGCTCGCAGTTAATTTCTCTGTCCGAAGACTAAGAATTAATGTTGCATTTGGTATTTTATGATGGGTCCCCAAAATTGGATAAAGTTCTTGTCTTGTTTAATTACATGGCTTGATATGTGTTTTCTTTTATCTCAATATAGTTTTTTTTCGTGCTTTGGTTTAAATATTTCTGTCGAAATTAAAGTTAACTCTTCTATTAAATGGGATGAATCTAAAGAATTTAAAGTAAATTCAAGACAATTATTTTTTATATATAGGCATTGATCTTGCGCTTTTATGTGGAACAATCCCTATTCTACTTCGGAAAATCTCAATGAGATTTAATAATAGCGAATAGAGATATATCCAGTTCAGTGTGCATGATGATCATTAAGCGTTCTATTCTATGAATAATTATGGGGCTATTGTACTGAGATGCCTCTGAGGTTTATTGAAGTAATAATACAGTATTTTTCCAAAACATAACAGGATGCGGGGTAAGCTGCCTATTGGGGTAATTTAATCCATAAAGTGTAAAGGCAAAATGTACAAGTGTATTATATTTTGGAGGTGTCAAAAGACATACTCAACACTTGGTTTAATTTATCTTCCTCCATGAAGTTTTAGGTGAGTACTAATATTCACAAAAGAAGAGGAGGGAAGATACGAGATAAGACTGAACTTAATTACTAAAGCTCAAATTCTCAGTAAAGGAACAAATGGAGAGTTAAGGATGTTATGGTTTCGTTGAACTCTTAAGGACATGGTGAGGAGTATTTCTACTTACTAGACTCCATTTGGATAAAAGCCATAAAGGTTACAACGTACATCTTTAGTAAGCTGCCTATTGGCTACTCAATAGTACTCTCGAGGCTAAAAGTTTTATAATCCCACCTCAAGAAGTTTTTTTTTAAATGAGAAATGTGAGATTTCTTGAGTATTTTGAGTTTTGGGGGGAAGGAAATATAAGGAATATTGTTACCACACAAACTCAACACACTCAAGAAGTGCTATTAAGTATATCCACAAAGTAGAAGATGGACGATTCTAGCTAACAATATCGTTGCTCTTCAAAGAATATATACATGACATCAGGTTGACTAATGATTCAATTTTAGCCAAGTCATGAACAGTTATGAAAAGTGGATTGATGTCATGTGGTGAAGTCGATGAGAGATATAAGGTATGTTGGTCTCTAATGCTTTACTAATAAGGAAAGTGTTGGCTCAAAGAGACTTTCTCTCTGGTATATTTGAAAGACTCTTTAAGAAATATAATGACAATGGTGGCTCATATAAGCATCTCATTATTGATATCACAATTTTTTATCATATTATTAGCTCATTCAGATTTAGAGACTAATGTTGGAGATGATTGGGTATATCTTAAGTTCAGTGGGAGTAAATTCTTTTTCCTGTTCTATACATCATGGTTGTTCTACTTAAGGTGCAAGTAGAATAAGTTAGTAAACCAGGAGATGTGTTGTAGCTAAGGGAGACAGTTTTGGTCTCAATCAGTGCCCCAATTATACATAAGAAATTAAGGTACAAAATCTCTTGAATGCATATTTGCATTAAAGATCTCATGTATACTTTAGTTTATTCTCATCCCAATAAAGCATTTCTAGTAAGAGTCTTTGGTAGATATTTGTTTGGTCTATGCATGAAACACTAGAAGGATTCAAACGTGTAACGCGTTTACTAAAGTTGATAAAAGAATTCATGCAAATTTGTTAGAGATCAGATAATTTAGAGATCATCAAGTACTCTGACTCTGATGATACAGGATGTCAAGGTAGCATAAACTCTACATCAGGTTACCCTTCAGTGTTGGGTAGAGTTCAAATCACATCTTGCGCTTCCTATTATGGTTGCAAAGTTTTTTGTCACTAGAATGATATTGGTAAGTTATTAAAGGTTAACAGTGACAATAATTTTGATAGTGATACACTATCATTACCATGGATTTTAGAAGTCAAATATATTGACATCAAGTTCCTGGTGGTTAAAGATAAAGTTCAAAATAGACAAGTTTCTATTGAACATTAAGGAAATGACTAATGCTAGCTTATCCATTAGCCAATGGTTTGACACATAAAGTTTTTTCATGAGCATATTGCTCGCATGAGTGTTATTCCAGATGGTACCTTTGTTTAGTGGGAGTCATTTAAGTAGTTCAATAGATTATGACTAAATCAATTCTCTAGAATAAAGTGATGGTTTTCTAGAGTCTATTTTGGAATTTACAGTTATACAGTAGTCACATTGTATGAAGGAATTTCAGTTGATCTCACTAAGGACTAAAGTAGAACCAGTTGAAAATAGGCATGTTCAAGATCACATTGCATGTAATTTTCATGCCACTCATCCATATTTGATCTCTGTCATTAAGTGTATTGGTGTGGTGATCATGGTGGTTTAGTCATTATTATATCGTGATTAAAGCCGCGTTGGTTCCATAATTAATACATGAGGTGGACCAGATTGGTTTAGGAGATGTCTAAGTACAAATAGCATACAGTTGCGCGCCTAAAGAATTTTGTGATATAATTGTTTCAAGAAAAATATGTAGCCCAAGTGGGAGATTGTTAGGAAATTCTATTTCCTATTATGATATGGGCCACATATTTTACAATTATATGGGCTATTTGTTTTAGTGGGCTAATTGTAAGTGATCTAAATCAGGAGCCCAAAGATGTCTTATATTGATATGGGCCTAAATGGGTGGAAACCCAATACTTGTTCACCTTGGGTCTTATGGGAGCCCATGGTGACTAGTATATAAAGGAGCTTCAGGTTGTGGTCCCCAATACACCAAGACCAAACACTCTCTTCTTCTCCCCATCAAGAAGATCAGAGGATTCCCGTTAGTGGACTAAGGAGGCTTGGTTGAGGAAGATCATGTTGCATCCAGGGTCGTGCTCTTAGAAGTATCGCCCGGCCAAAGTTCGTCTTTCAGATTCCGCATCAAGATCCGGACGGTCTACATCGTGAAATCAGGTAACTCTATCAACCTTTGATAATCTGACAAGATGATGGATTCCGGGGAATTACATAGGCTAAAGTTTAATTCCAACAAAAAACCTCATATATGATAATTTTTCAAAATCTTCATTTTCCTTGTAAGCCCTAGTGTGTTACATGGCCCACCTAGCCACCTCTCTTCTTGATCATGGTCATGGTCATGGTCATGGATGCCGCCTTTCTTTCTTCTCGCTCTCTTTTGCTGCTTTCCCCGACCCACCGAACCTCTCGCTAGCCCCCGGCTCTTCCCTTTCTGATAATTATTTGCTTTTTTTACGTTTCTTCATTTGTTTTAAATAACTTATCGGCTTCTATTAACGAAATGAAAACAGAAACTATAAAAGAAAAAAATGATGAAACAAGTTGATGACTAATTACTATTATTTGGCGTCAACAAAAAACCAGATCAGAAACCACCTTTGGCTTGTATAAAGAAAAAAACAACAGAACTCGAAAGGAGGAGAAGGAACCATAATCGTTGTTCCCTAATACAAATAGTAATAAATAAAAGTTATTATAGCAAAAAGCAAGCCTTCAAAAGGAGACTCTGTAAGGTGAGAACAATGAGAAGGAGAAATTTGAAACCCAAGAAGCCCCCCAGCTCGGTCTCCCAAGTTTTGAATTTCTCTTCTCCTTCATTTCACATCGAACGGTTCTTCTTTTGTGGATTGAAAAATAAAGGAGCACCGCCACCAAGCCGTGCTCATCGTAGGACGCAAAGCGATTCAGGTGCCTTTCTATTCGTTCAGGTTTCATGCTTGTTCATCGCTAAAGAAGTTTTGTGTCCTTTAGAGTTTTTTTTTTTAATCATGAATTTCCATAAATGAAACAAAAACTTGGAAGTGGGATCTCCATTTTTATATTTATCTTTGTGGGCATGAAAGTGGTGAAAAGAATCTAACCCAGAAGCTATAACATAAATGAGAATTACCCCGATCAAAAATCTTAAATTTTTATTTATGTATTTATCGAAGCGTTACGAGTCATTCAAAAATAACATAAATGAGAATTACCCCAGAAGCCATAACATAAATGAGAATTACCCCGATCAAAAATCTTAAATTTTTATTTATGTATTTATCGAAGCGAGTCATTCAAAAATATCATTTACAACCTATCATTTTAATGGATGTATTTCGTACAAGATCGTATATGTTGACGATTTCTTCTACAAAAACTTCATTTTATTTTGAAATTCAGTTCATTCTGAAAGATTGTTTGGTATTTGATCATTTGATTTTTCTGTTTCCATGGAAAACTACTACAAGCATGGACTAGTACCGGTTGTATGAGTAGGAACGAGATAGGATCAAATTGATTACATTTGAATTGATTAATTCCGGCCGCGGTGGTGGGTGACTGGGACACATGTCTGTATTGAATATTGATGCTGATTTGATTTGATTTGATTACAGTAATTGTGGAAAATTCAATTTCTTGCAGCTTTGATTAGACAGGCAATAGACCAAGAACCTCAGGGCCAGGGCGAACCCGAATCATATAAAGGAGACCGAGGGGGCGGCGTCAAAATGGCGGACTCACCACTAGCATCATCTCCTTCACCTTCCGCGTTCGACGGAACTGCTTCTCCCATGGAAAGCCTTCTGGGTTTGCTCCGTATCCGAATCAAACGCGGGGTCAACCTCGCCGTCCGCGATGTTCGCAGCAGCGACCCTTACTGCGTCGTCAGAATGGGCAAACAGGTACTTAGAGATTAGAGGCTTCTTTCTTGTTTCTCTGCTTCATTCCCCTGATTTGCATAGGCTACATCTGTTTGTATTCCGATTCGGGGCAGAACCCAGGTGGGAATCATTTAGAGGAAATGGTTTGGTCTAAGTCAATCTGGGTCGCTGACTTCCATTTGGGATGATCGGGTGCTTTAGGGTTTATATGATCTGCGAGTAATGATGATGATGTTGATGTTATGGTGGATTACTCCTGTGCAGAAACTGAAGACTAGAGTTATAAAGAAGGATGTGAATCCCGAGTGGAACGAAGATTTAACTCTTTCTGTTACAGACCCAGAGCTTCCAGTCAAGCTGGTATGTCTCTCTTGTTTGCTCCTTCTTTCCCTTTTCCAGTAATGGTACTGTGTGGACATGTCATGTTATTTTGAGTGTGGAGTTATTGCATTTTTGTTTCCTGTTTGGAGACCTGGGCTTTTGCTCAATTGATTGAGTCCTTTATCAGGAAAAGAAACATAAAAAGTGACTGTAGGAATGATTTCATGTATGAGATACCTAGATAAGATACTCAATTAGTTTTGGTGCTCTCGTTTCTTTTGGTTTTTACATTTAATATGTTTTTCCGGAAAGGATGATATCCTGTTTGTAGTTTTGTACTCTTCCTTAATTGGAGTATTCCAACGAATGTCCCTTTCTAAACTGGTAAAGAACTGGTAAATGCGGTTAGATATTTTATTCTTAGGCTGTCATTGTGCCACTTCATTGAATAAGCCTCTAGGGCAATTCAGATTTTGTCCAAAGATACTCTTGCGAGAAAATTAGGAACTAATATAAGAACGTTTAGGGGTCGTTTGGATGTGGAAATTTGAAAACGTTGGAATTTGTCTGAATTTCCATGTTTTACAAAACCAAGGAATTGACTTGTGGAAATTGAAAAAAATTTCACGTTTGGATAGGGTTTAGTTTTGTGGGAATTGATGGTGTGGAATTTGGAAAAAGAAGTAAGAAAACGTGGTAATGTCAAATTACTAGAGGGAGGTGTAGTATTCTCAATTACCATGAATGTGGTAATTGAAGCCAATTTCCATGGTCCAATTCCCATACCCTTTTTGCTCTCCCAAACGTGGGTTTTAAACCCAATTACTGCGTTATGTGGTATTTGGGTCCAATTACTGCATTGCATTTCCATGTCCAAACGACCCCCAAAGTTCCTTAGGTGAAACCGGTTGCTCCGTAGGCCTATCAATGTAAAGTCACTTGATGACTTCATTCATAATCTCTATGAGCGAGCTTGTCTATTTCTAACTCTTGTGAACAAGGACACTGTTCAGCTTAGTCCGGTCAATTGCCTAATTTGATGTTTGAGCTCAATCCAAGCTTATATTAACCCAATTTGCAGCTCGATACTGTCCATACATTAGAAGGGGCAAGAAGCTATATTATTTATGCTCGTGGCTTTGAGTTCCATGCACAACTCTGTGACTGACCTGTCATTTTTGAGTTTTTGGTATTTAGCGTGCCTTTTCAACCTGGGAGTTGGGTGAAATTTTATTTGTGGCATGCTCTGCTGTTTGTGGGAGTCGAGGGAAAATTGAATTTCAGCAGAGTTTCAACTGGGTTTCATTTCACCCATGCTTCCCAAGAACTGTTTGTTCGAAGCTTAAGTAGTTTGTATTCATATTGGCTGCGCTCAAGCTGCATACTTTCCAACTGAGGGGAACTCAATGTTCATTACTGACAATCTGTTATGTTTCCATCTGTGGCTTAGACTGTTTATGACCACGACACATTCACCTTAGATGACAAAATGGGGGATGCGGAATTCGACATCAAACCTTTCATGGATGCATTAAAGATGAACGTGTCAGGCCTACCAAACGGCACCATAATCAACAAAATGCACCCGGGCAGGCAAAACTGTTTGGCGGATGAGACCTGCATTACATGTGTTGATGGCAAAGTTGTCCAAGATATGTGCCTCAGATTGAGAAACGTGGAATGTGGTGAAGTTGAGCTCCAGTTACAGTGGATTGACCTCCCCGGCTCAAAGGGCTTTTGAAATGCACCATAAACAGAAGAAGCAGAAGCAGTGGTCTGTTTCAGAGACTTGAAGCCGAGATGGTCTGTCTATCACCAGAAGCATATCTTTCTTTATACACACACCATGGTTGCGGTTGCTAGTATCCTGTTGATTTTGGCGATGCAGGTTACACCACCATATTGTTCATAGGTTGTGCTGTACCGAGCTGAAGATCGATCTCATTAATGGTCTTTTTCTTCCTCGTTTAAATTGTGATTGGTGTACCAATTAGTCCATACCTGGCGTAATTATATGTCTTGGATGTTCCTGTTATTATCAGTCAACTAGGATTTGAACTTGGAAAGACAGATGATATGTTGCAAACGGAATTATGTTTGAAGAAGCTGAAAATGATGGTGTTACATGAAGATTATATATATATACATATACATATAAAGTGTAACCATTTCATGTCAAACAAGCAACAATGGAATATTCTCGTCATTTGTTTTTTCACTCCTCCGTTGTGTTCTAATGTGTTCGTAGCGTTATTACGCAATGATTCTGGAGACGACCACTGCAGGAAACATGGAAACTTCCTTTTCACCAGTTTTCACTTTCATGGGGACATTTGCGGCTCTACAGAGACTTAGTTCGGTTTTGCTTTTGCTTTTGCTTTGTTCTTCCGGTTCTTTCTTCCCAGTTAGATTAGAACGATTCCCTCGACAGATTTGGTCACGTCGCCATCTGGAAAAGGAAACCACTTAGCGCTGAGCACACAGAAAGAAGAGAAAGGCGCAAGTCTTTTGAGAATCCCATCCATGTATGCTGGTTGGGTCGCAACCAGAGAACACAAAAGGCCCAGTGGCAGAGCCATGGCCGCAGGGGAAAAAGAGGGTCGGAGGCTTGGTTGGTTTGGTTGCAAAAGGAAAGGACCAAAGGAGAAAAGAAGGGCGGCTAAAAGGTTGAGGGGAATGTATAAAGAAATGGTGGGTTGGTTTGGGTCAAGGAAGAGGAATGGACAAAAGAAGGTCCACGTGAAGCTGTGGTGGTATCAAATCTTACAATCTTTTAACTTTGGCGCTTGCTTTGTTTCTTTGTTCGTTGTGATTGGAAGACAAACGAACCACCATGGAATGAAGAATCAATTCTACTAGTTTTATATTTTGAAGAGAATTGTTAAGTTGTTTCAGTTTGTGTGATGAAGATGGTTAGGTGGTCTACTAACTTTACGGGTGACAAATTACAAGGACGAAAAAATCAAATCATGGAGAAAGGATGATCCAACCTTTTTTATTGAATTCTGCTTTCCTTCCAGATGTTTGATCGACTTCTGTGTACTGATTCTTATTTTATCTAAGTCATGGGTGGCAAGTATTGGTGACGAAAATGGATTGTAGTGAAGATTTTGACATTTTGTCTCGTCTAAGTCATCATAGTCTTAGAAATAAATTCAGTAGTAAAACAACAACTAAAAGAGTTTGAATCCATTTCTAAAAATCTTACCAGGCTTACTCCTTAATCATCTATTTGAGATACATTGTTTGCTGGTCTTTAAGGTTCTTCTTCCATTTAATCTCTCTCCTCCAAATTGTTTATGTATTCTACAAACTCCTCCTAGTACCAAACTAGGGTCACCATCCTTCTAGGATCTACATTTCGGTGACTTGTTACGCTTATTGGGAATGTGTGGATGAGTGTGATAAAGTTAACATTTTCTCCCTGCTTTAGTATCGATTTCGATAAAAATTTGTTATCCTAACATGAGATAGGGAGACACTTCGGGTGCAGGGATATTATGACAGGGATATTGTGATGTGGATGTAAAAGTTAAGATGGGAGGACATGAGTTTTCTTCTCTTTGTTGGACTCTCATCGTTTGCCTCTCACTTGCTAGGTCTCCCTCTCCTCTATTAGACGCTAACAATAACAGTGTAAATGAGGAATGTTGGTTGGTTTTGACGACACTCATTGTTAGGGAGATATGCGTATTTGTAGAAACTCCTTTAATTGTCCCTTTTTTCCTTTTATAATCGAAATCATTCTCAAATATAAAGATGCAGAGAATAAACGAAGTTTGAAGGACGAATTCATGGAGTTTCCCCCATATGTATAGGTAAGATAGTCTTTAGCTCCTTAATCCAGTTTTCTTTGATCTTTCAATTTGTTTAGATAAAAAGGTCATTGAAAGTCAAATAAAATAATAGAGCGAGAATATGAGGCGTCTAATTGAAATGAGATCTAGGTCACTAGTCTCGTTGTCATTTTCTTTAGAGTTGGGGGTTCTGTATCATTGGGAAATCTTCTTTTTGTTGATGGCTTAAGCAAAATAGATCTTGCCAGTTGGTTCTGCCAAGAGGATGTTTGGATTACGAAAAGGGTTAATACTACTAGTTTTTAATTTGTAGGTCACAGATTCAAATATGTTAAATAGTATCTAATTACAAAAAATAAAACATATATCACCTTTATCTAAGAAAAGAGGATGTTTGGATCAGATAGTAAGAGAAGGTTCAAGTCTCTGTTTGGGCTCCAATACTTTACTCTCACCTCCAAATTGGACAAGGCATGCGTGACAAAGCATAGTCAAACAACTTTTGATTTGCACTTTAATTGCATGGTTGGTCATTGAGATTACAAAAAACGTTCAGTTTGGTCACTCGAAATATTTAAATTCATTGGTAGTACTTCAGTTTACCGAAACTGTTCACGTTTGGTCACTCTCCGTCCGACTCCGTTAACTTTGACTAATGTGGCATTCAACTTTCAAAGTTGACCGTTAACTTAGTGATGTGGCAACTAAAAATTTATTAAAGATAAAAAATAAACTTTTATATTTTCCACCTCATTATTACATTCATTAAAAAAAATAATTACTTTTCTACAAACCCCTACCCGAACCAACCTTCACCGCCGCCGAACTCGCCTCCTGTTTCGGTTTCTTCCTCCTCTATTCCTAACCCAAAATAGAAGGGGAGGTTGCTGAGATCCAGCTCGTAGAGTCACTTCAAGTTCTTGAACGTCCAAGGAACCACCCCGCAGAACCGGTTCGAATTGATGTGGGAAATTGCTAGATCTCTCAACAACTCTAGCTCCTCCGACAAGAATCCGCTGTGCCGCCTCCCTCACTATCGTTGACGGCTGCCGGTTTGTGCTTGATTAGATTGATGGGGATGCTGGCAGAAATGAAGGCGGAGGGAGAAGTGGGGTCGGATTGTCGTCGAGGTGGTGGTGAAGGTGGTGGTGATTTGAGGAAGGCGGCGGGTCGCCGGTGGATTTGGAGAGGGCGTACTCAAAGAAGGAATCGCGCTGTTGAGCTGATTCGGAAGAAGATGATTTGGTCAATGCCCGATCTCTCAATGGCTTGCTTCCCCTGTGTTTGTGCATCCTTTTTCTTTTTTCTGAGTTACGATTGCATTATCAGGAACCTGCTAATTACGATTCATCATCTCTCGTCGGATCTCATGACGAGATCGATGAATCCCGACTCAGCCTTTGTCCTATACTCCACCTTCCTGGATTCCTCCGCCCTCTAGTGGCTCTCGCCCCTGCAGACCTTCAACTTGATAGAAACCCGCTAGGCGGGTAGGGTGGGTCGGGTTCGGCCATGTTGGTCGGGTTAGGAGTGGCATTTTTGTTATTTTCTCTGTTAGTTGCTGAAACACATAAAAGGAGGGAGTACGTTCATTTGGGATTAAGCAAGAATAATATCAGAATCCCTAATTTTCTCTATTCAATGTTCTTCATTCTGTGACCGGGCTGCCAACACCCGGAACTCTCCGATTCCGGGCTCAGGTTGCAGGTACCTTGCTTTGACTTTGGTGGACAGTGTTGTCACTCTGAATTTTATTAGCGAGGAATTGGCCAAGCTTCTTCCACAGACGTCGAGCTTGGTATACCCGATGGTGGTTCGAGTAGCTAATGGAGTACCTATGCAGTGCAAGACTATCTATCGGGAGCTGCCATTCGAGATTCAAGGGCTGCCCGTCACCGCGGATGTGTTTGTGCTGCCCATTCGCGGGTTTGACATGATTTTGGGTGTTCCGTGGCTGCAGGGATTGGGACTAGTCACCACTGATTGGCGTAGCTTAACGATGAGGTTCAAATGGCGAGATAAGGAGTGGTGTTTGTAGGGGCTGACCACGGCCCTGGGACCCGTTTCTTTCCTGGAGTGCATCACCGGGGAGGAGGCGGAGTTGGCGGTCATGTGCTGGCCGGTGGCATTGTCGGAGGACCAGGAGCTAGCCCCCGATCTTCAGCGGGTACTGGCTGGTTTTCCGGAGCTCTTTCAGATGCCGACCACACTGCCGCCGCACCGGCAGGTCGATCATCGCATTCAGCTCAAGGAAGGGGTGGAGGCTGTGAACGTCCGCCCATATCGATATGGCCATTCCCAGAAGGAGGAGATCGAGCGATAAGTGGAGGAGATGCTAGCGACCGGATCAATTCAGCCGAGCACCCGCCCTTTTTCCTCGCCGGTGCTACTGGTTAAGAAGAAGGATGGGACTTGGCGCTTCTGTACTGATTACCGGACGCTAAATGTCGCGACAGTGAAGGATCGTTTCCCGATCCCGACGGTGGATGATATATTGGACGAGCTACATGGGTCGACATACTTCACCAAGCTCGATCTGAGAGCTTGATACCACCAGATTCGGATGACGGAGGAAGATGCGCACAAGACCGCTTTCCGGACACACAATGGCCATTATGAGTACTTGGTTATGCCCTTCGGCTTGTGCAATGCTGCCTCGACTTTTCAGGCGGTGATCAATGACATATTCCGGCCGCTGCTACGACGGTATGTGCTGGTATTTTTTGATGATATTCTAGTCTACAGTCCTTCTTGGGAGACGCATTTACGGCATTTGCAGGCAGTATTTGAGATATTGAGGCACCATTAGTACTACCTCAAAGCATCAAAGTGTGTGTTTGGGGTTCAGAAGGTGGAGTACTTGGGCCACATTGTCACTCCACAGGGGGTCCAGGTGGATCAGTCGAAGATTCGGGCTATGGTCGAGTGGCCAACCCCGACTACTGTCTCCCAGTTGAGGGGATTCATGGGTTTGACCGGTTATTACCGGAAGTTTCTGCAGGGATACAGTATGATCGCCCCTCCCTTGACTAATCTGTTGAAGAAGGGCGGGTTTGCGTGGACACTAGAAGCAGACAGGGCATTTCAGCAGCTTAAGCAAGCCATAACGACAACCCCGGCCCTAGTCATGTCAGACTTTTCCAGGACCTTTGTGATTGAGGCTGACGCCTCGGGCCGGGGTATTGGGGCGGTGCTATCTCAGGATCGTCACCCAGTGTCCTATATGAGTAAGACCCTGGACCCATCCAAGGAGGCTTGGTCTACTTACCAGAAGGAGATGCAGGCTATTATCACAGCAGTGCAGATGTGGAGACCGTACCTTCTGGGACAAAAGTTCCATATTTACACTGATCACTAGAGTCTGCGGAATCTCTTG